AAATAAAATATTTGATAAAAAAAAATAGATAAATAGATAGATAGATAGATAGATAGATAGACAGACTTCTACATTCCCAGAGATTTGGGAGTTGCCACCAGAGAGTGAAGGGAATGAGGGTGGGTCCCCAGCTGGCTGCCCCAGGATGTCACCAATCCTGGGCCCGCCAGGGCAGGTACACGCCCAGTGCCTGCTGGGGACCCGGCAGACGAGGACAGAGAGCTGGGGGAGCGGGGAATAGAGCCTCACGGTGGGGGCTGACCTGAGGGGTCGCTGCCGTCCAGCTGCTGGGCCGCTACCACCGTCCTGTCCACAGAGAGAAAGGGAAGTTGGATGTGTGTGCTGGGGCCGCTCAGCCCTCCCCTGCTCGCTTCACCCCGTGCAGGCACGCTACACCACGCTCTCACTTCACTTCTTCTTTCCCCCGTCAGTAGCCTTTTTGCTTCCTCTGAACTCGTAGCTGGGCAGGGCACCCCTTCAAGAGGTGCTTGGTGTCAGTGGGGAGAGGGGGGAGGGCTGGTGCTCGCAGCTCCCGGCAAGATTTCAAGACCCACCTCTGCTCTGCGCCTCTTCCGTCTGTTTCCCCACCTCCAGACAGGAGAGAAGGCGCCCCGCCTGACCTAACAATCAATGAGACTGAGATAACCACGACCTCAGGCAAAGGGCCAGGTCCGACTGCCTGGCCTCAAATACCAGACCTGCCATTTACTGGCTGGGGGGCTTTGGGCAAGTGACTGAAAGTCTCTGAACCTCAGTTTCCCCCTCTAAAATGGAGCTAAGACAGCCCCACCTCACGGGGTAGTGTGGCGCTTCCGAGAGCTGCAAAGTCACCAGACCCGTGTTTCACAGCTGTGGAAAGGCCTCGCTGGGAACAGAGAGCTCAGGAGATGTGGCCGGACTGTGGCTGGAGGGCTGGTCAGCCTGTCCTGCTCCAGTTACTTCCCCTGCACAACCCCGAGGGGAAGGGGGAGTGTCTGTGCATTGGTGGGAGGCAGGGTGCTCTCGCTCGCTCAGCCAAACTCCCTGGGAAAAGTCCAAGTCAGGAATGTACTTTCCTACCCCTGGGGTGAGATGGGGATGCAGCAAAGCGGAGGAAGCAGGCAGGTCCCCACAGGGTCTCTCTCCCCTCTCCCCCACCCCAAGGCCCTTCCGGCGCCGGCCCATGCACAACCCACAGGTGGTAGCTCACTCAGGCCTCTGTGGGAAGGGGAAGAGAGCTGCGCCTCAGAGGGCAGCGATATTTGGGGGGAGCACAGACCCACGCCTCCAGGCCCGCTGCTGTGCAGGGACACCTAGGCACCTGGGACCCGACCCCTCGGCTACGCTCCTGCTGGATGACTTGGGCAAGCCCTTGCCTTTCTCTGCACTTTGCTTTTCTGTGGCCATGACCCAGACCATGACCTCCAAGCCATTCCTTCTGAGGTCTCCTAGTCACCTCTGCAGTTACAACACCAGCGGTCTTCCTCTTCATGCTGTTTGTGAACCCAAGCAGCTGCTGTCAGGGCCCAGGAGGAGGCCCCGCTCACCCTGATGCCCCTCTATTTTCCACCCCGGGATCTGTGCCGCCCTCTCTATGTCTTGCCTCTGGTGGAGTGCTGGTTCTACCTCACCCTGCTCTCCAGACCCTGGACATCATGGCCAAGACACTCCCCAGCTCAAAAGCCACCAGTGGCTCCCTATTCCTTCATTGACTTCATGGTCTAGCCCCATCCAGCTTCTGCGTCCACCCGGTTCCGGATGAGCTTGCCATAGTGACACCCACCTCCCTGCTCTGTCCCAGCTGTGACACACACATGTGTCACCGGTCCTGGGTCCCCTGAGAAGGCTGCTCTGTCTCCAACTCCCCTGTAAAACATTCCAGATGCTTCAGCGTTAGGAACGTGCCAGTCCCTTTTTCAGCACCCCCAGGCAGGGAGGAGGGCAGCAGGCCACCTCCCACCCTCCTCTCTGGGAGAGCCGCACACCATCCCCAGGGATGTCTCTCTCCATAGGGGCTCTCCACCCTGTGATCTGCAAGAGGACAGTAAGGGGGACCCCTAACAGGACTTGCCATCAACTGAGTCGCACCATGAAAAACTCATTTTTTAAAAAAGATTTTATTTATTTATTTGACAGAGAGAGACACAGCGAGAGAGGGAACACAAGCAGGGGGAGCGGGAGAGGAAGAAGCAAGCTTCCCGCGGAGCAGGGAGCCCAATGCGGGGCTCCATCCCAGGACCCCAGGATCATGGCCTGAGCCGAAGGCAGACGCTTAACTGACTGAGCCACCCTGGTGCCCCCAAAACTCATCTACTTTTCAGTGTTTTTCAGTCCTGGTTACATCCAGGAGAAGCCTCCGTTCAGAGCTAAATTTTCTCTAACTCCTCTCTCCCACTGCCCTGTGTCCTTATTTTGTCATTCTTCAAACTTTTATTGGACGAAGAAAACTAGGTAACAGATTTTTAATGATTTTTTTTATTGTGGCAAAATACACATAAAATTTACCATTTTAACCATTTTTTAAGCGTACAGTTCAGTGGCCTTAAGTACATTCACATTGCCATGCACCCATCACCACCATCCACCTCCAGAACCTTTCCATCTTCCCAAACAGAAACTCTGTCCCCATTAAGTAGCAACTTCCCTCCCTCCACCGCCTCCCAGCAGCCCCTGGCAGCCACCATTCTATTCTGTCTCTACGAATTTGAAGTGGAATCATCCAATATTTGTCCTTCTGTGACTGGCTTATTTCACTTCGCATGGATCAGCCTTTCCTTCCTTTTTAAGGCTGAATAATATTCCTTTGAGTGTATAGATAGACCAATATCATTTATCCATTTGTCCCATGACAGACACTAGGGTGGCTTCTACCTTTTGGCTCTTGTGAAAGGTGTACAATCACGTCCCTGTTTAACAAAGAGCAAGTTTCTAGCTAGTTCTCAGTGGCGTTGTTTGTTTACATAGGATTTATTTTTTCTATTTTCTTCTATTTGTGAAAATCGATGCCGATTTCCTACTTACCCAAAAATACCCATACATCCTACAACATGAAAAGGATGCACAGGAAACGTGCTAGGTATCGATGGAAAAAGTGGCAGCAGGGGTACAAGACAGAACTGCTGGAACGTGGAAAATACCAATCTAGTCCTCCATCGAAAACCCCACTGGGCTGAGCTGGGGAAGGAATCCCCTCAGAGGGCCACCGGGAGGCTGACACCAGTGGGCTATCTGGGCATGTGGGTTCAGGAACAGTGGTGACAGGGGTAACATTGAGTCAGATCTGGGCTCTCAGACCTTCTGGCTTTGTGACCCCAGGCCTGTCACTTGACTTCTGATTCTCACTGTTCTCACTATAAGCTGGTGAGGTGGCTGAAAACTAAGATAATTCCTATGAACTGCCAAGCCTCTGGTCTGTACCCATCTTGGTTCCATGACCGGTGGGATCTCCCCGCCTGCTGCGAGGGACATTCCTGCGACTACTCCCTTTCTTAAGAGAGAGGGCCCAACTGCAACGTCCTAACTGGAGCTTAGGTTCACCGCTGACTAAGCCTCCTCAACCTTCTCCAGCCCTCCTGCTGCCTCCAGAAGCTCTGGGAAAGAACCAGGGGCTCTTGGCCCATTCCTGTCCTTACCAGCCATGGGACTTTAGATAAGTCTGAGCCAAAAGCCGCCCCCCCCCCCAACCCAGGATCATTTTCTCAGCTTTAGAACGGGGAGTCCCTGTCCTCTGAGTACTCAATATCTGTCTTTCCTGGGCCCAAGCTACACAGAAAGCAAAGACCAGCCTTGCAACATTCATAGTGGTTTCCTCTCCCACAACACCTACCCCCACCCAAATCTGCCTCCATCAGATGCTATCAGAGTTTAACCACGCAAATATGAAGCAAATGAACTGACAAGCAAAACTGCACATCTTGCAAAAAGTATGGGGTTTCGGGGCCCCTGGGTGGCTCAGTCGGTTAAGCAGCTGCCTTCAGCTCGGGTCATGATCCCTGGGTCCTGGGATGGAGCCCCACGTCCGGCTCCCTGCTCAGTGGAGAGCCTGCTTCTCCCTCTCGCTCTGCCTGCTTGTGCTTTCTCTCTGTGTGTCAAATAAATAAATAAAATATTAAAAAAAAAAAAGTGTGGGGTTTCATGAAGTTGATGTGACACCGTACAAAAATGAAGCAGAAGCTGACCACAGAGGAAGAGAACATCACTTAGAAATGACCAAGTCCTTCCAGAGAGAACTGCTTAACTAACAAAGGATTCAGAGTGACCCTTGCGTGTGACACTCTCCAATATATTTGCAAAAATGACCCTCTTTCTGTCAAGAGCGATTCTTCATTCTAACGTCTGGCTGGTTGCAATCACAATCTGTGTTAATCATGAGCTAAAGCTAATTTTTCTTCAGCACTTTTAGTTTCCTTTTCAAGGCAAAGTCCCAACGCGGTCTGGTTCCCCTCACTATCTCTGTGATGTTTTGGTTATCTTTTTAGAAAGATTCACCGTAGGGGTGCCTCGCTGTCTCAGGCAGTGGAACATGTGACTCGTAACCTCAGGGTCCTGAGTTCAAGCCCCACAGTGGGTGTGGAGCCTACTTAAAAAGAAAAAAAAAGAAGAGAAAAGAAAAAAAGATTCACTGCAGTGGCCTTCCAGGTACAGGATATGGTGAGGAGAGGCGCCCGACCCCATTTCCCGCCCAAACCGCAGACACCTTATTCTCAAGGGCAGAGGAAGCCCCCCAGCCGCGGGGCGCACGCTAGAGCGCCTTACCGTAATTGCCCGGGGACCGCCGGCCCGGCCCTGTCGCCCGCGGTTAGCACCGAGGCACTTCGGAGAAAATCTCCGCCGGGCGGGCCAAGTGCCCTACCACGCTTCTCGACAGGCGTGAGGTTACTCTGATGAACCCTTTTGTGGTACAAAGGGGAAACTGAGGCCCGGTGAAGGGCAGAGCCTCGCTGCTCCGCGGCCACTCGGCGACAGAGCTGGCACTAGGAAGAATGCAGGTAACAAAAGTGAACACTAGGTCAGCGCGCCCCACGTGCTGAGCCCAGGACAGGCGGTGCCCACTTCTGCTGCGGGGCGCCTAGTACGTCCTTGGCGCTCGGGAAACCTGAGGCGGGAAAGCCGAACCCCGCGGGGCCCCCAGACCCTGCCTTCCGTCCCCTCACCCTCGGCCCCAAGCGGGGGTGGGGCCTCCGGCCGGGACCCGCTCGCTCTCCAGCAGAGCCCTCCGCCCCGGCCCGCGCGCCTCGCCCCACAGTCAGCCTGGTGCCCCCACCCCAGCTACTCTGCGAGCCCGGGTCACACTGTGGCCGCCGCTGGCCGGGGCCCACCGCCCCCGCCCCGCCGTCTCCTTTCCCTCCCCTCCCCCCGGGAGGGAGGA